AACGCAATAATACACGTCCCACGATTACGTTGCATAATTGAACATCGAAATCTATTTGGTCGCATATACATTTTCAATCTTTTACTTTCTGCATAAAAATCGCGACGATACCCGCATGCAACGCTTTCACATCCAAAAAAAATGAGCACTCATATTATCGGTTAAATAAAACTGATTTGCGTGAAATTTTTTCTATATATTATTTGTTTTACGAATCATTCCACGTTATTTAATTTGCAATTTTTATAAAATTTGTTTTTAAAGTAGAAAAAAGAAAAAAGAAAAAGAAGAAGAAAGAGAAAGATTTTGTCGATCCGTTGCCAGGTATCGAGAAATCACATGTGCGCATACGTTCTTTTGCAAAGCATAACGGAAAGGCGTAAGAAAAGATAGATAGCCGCGCTAGAATGACGTCACAATTGAACAAAAACTCACCCTCAAGCTTCATGCCGACTTCGAGGCACTTCTGAAAACGGCAGTAGGGACACCGCTTTCTTTGCGTTTTGTCAATGTGACAGGACCTCTCGGCGACGCACGTGTAGACCTTTTTGTTTTGGACGGTGCGTTTGAAGAAACCTTTGCAGGATTCACAAGTGAGTAGCCCGTAATGGTATCCGGAAACTTTGTCGCCGCAGACCGGACAGAGTTCTTCTATGATGATGTCCTTGGTATCGGGGAATTCGGACGGACACGGTATCGAGCCGGTCACGACACCAACCCCGACCTGACCCAATCCGGGATGACAGAGGGTACCAGTTGGTAATGAATAGGTGGTAGTTGGTATCGCGACATTGCCGCTTACCGTAGCGGATCCGCCGCCACTTGCACCGCTGGCCGCACCACTACCGCTACCGCCACCACCAGCAGAGGCGTTCCCTGCGGTGGGCCCACTACCGCCAGCGGCACCCGCACCACCGCCGCCACCCGTTCCTCCTCCACCACCGGTACCGGCACCACCGCCACCGGTATAAGTGCTGCCGCTACTCTCGAGGGCTGTCGATGTGCCGCAACCACCACCTCCAGCACCGTTTGCCGCGCCATTGCTGCCTCCACTGCCGCCAGTGCCGCTTCCGGCTCCTGTTGGCGAGAACAGACACGTGTACACCTTCTTGTTGCCGCAAGATCCGATCTCGAGTGCCGATGATGCGCCGCCGCCACAGCTACCGGTTCCACCGTTGTTACCGTTGTTACCATTTCCACCACCGCCACCTCCGCCACCACCACCGCCGCTGCCCCCACCTCCCCCACCTCCCGTTGGCGAGAATAGGCACGTGTATACTTTTTTACTGCTACACGGTGAATTATTCCGTTTGAAAAAACCTTTACAGGATTCGCACGTAAGCAGACCATACTGATAACCAGACATTTTGTCCCCGCACATGGGACACCGTTCTTCAAGGGCGGTGGAGTCGAAAAACGCGGCGTCGAAATTCGAAATACCCTGCGAATTATGTACCGGCAACTGTTGCTGTTGTTGCGGTTGCTGTTGTGACTGTGATTGGTGACATATCGTTGTAGGTGGACTTTGAGCGCAATTCCCATACGGTGAAGAACCGTATTGTGGTTGTTGTTGTTGTTGTTGTTGTTGTTGTTGCGCTTGTTGCTGTTGCTGGCCAGCACTGGCCGCACCTTGGGGACTACCCTGAGGGCTTAAATGGAACGGCGACATATTCAGGGATATCAGACCCGAATGCTGCTCCATCTCCAATAACATATCACCCTTGCGCAAATACTGCACGGAGGAACGTGCTTGTGGCGTATCGGCTCATATATATATATATATATATATGTATGAATTGATTGTAAATTCTTCTAATTTTAACCACTGTGGTAAATGATCAATGCTTTCCGTTTCTTTTCTTTTTTATATTGGCGTGTGATGTGACAGAACAACGATGGTTAATAGATTATTCTTTTTAATTTTGAAGCAGTAATGGTGTACAACGTGCAATGTCGTGATACTTGCGTATGCTATAGTACCACAGGCTGCGCACGTTGTCGATATGGATGAGAATATGACGACAACCACAACGACGACGATGACGACAATGATGACAACGACGACGACGACGGCGACGACGACGACGACGACGACGACGACGACGACGACGACGACGACGACGACGGCGACGACGACGGCGGACGACGACGACGACGACGACGACGACGACGACGACGACGACGACGACGACGACGACGACG